AGGCTTGCAGTAGGAGCCCTGCTGCTTCACCCCTGCCAAAAAAGCTTATCTTAAACTACGTCACTCGATTTGGACGGAGGAGTTTGCTTGGTAACTAAGTGATGTAACATTAGTTGTAGAAAAGACAAGAAAGGAGGGGGTGGGGGAAAAGCCAGTGGAGGATGAGAGCATAGGAACAAAGAGGAGAAAACAGAGCAGGTCATCAGCTAGGGCGACCATCAGGAGAAAAACATGGTAACGTAAAACAGAAGGGCCAGCTGGGCAGATGCACAATCCTCCCTTGTCTATTTCCCAGGAAATTTATGTTCCTGAGGCCACAGCAGCAAGCAGGGTTCAAAACGGACATGCTCACCCAGGATGCGCAGCTTCAATGATACAATAACCTCGCCCTGAGTTGAGCCTGTTTTCTTTCATTTTTTACCGACTCCTTTGAATCCCTCGGACTAGTTATGAAATTATCACCAGATTGACCGCAGTCCAACTTACTCACTGGCTGGTTTTCATTCCTCACCAGATTTCTATCCTCAGTGCCACATAGTGGTAAAATTTAGTAGCATGTGAGATGAAACTGTATACATGTAAAGAATGTTCAAAGCTCCATTTTGCCATTTTTATATTTAGACAGCTGTGGTACTTTGTCCGTGGTGCACCGTCGACTGGCAATTTATCACCAGATAAGGAGTTGTGGAATATATTGGTTACCCATTGGTAGGGGTGTATGGAACATGGAGGGCACTTTGGAGGCGGGGAAGGCTTAGGATATATTCCAAAACTCACTCATGGAATAAATTTTCAGAAGACATGGCCCTGATGAGCCAAACCTGTTGCTTGTTACCCCTCTTTAGCCTTTGTATTTGTATTTACCTGGTTGTCTCGTGAGCCCCATTTCATACATTTACGTTGCTCCTCTTGACTGCCTGTGTCCTTAGCCAAAGTTGCCTTTTTGTTTTGATCCCTCATGGTCTTGTTTGTTTCCCTGCTCCTATTTAGTTAAATAAACCTCTGTTGTTCACTCAAGCACCTGTTTTTGAGTCCTTCATCTCGCATTTTGTGACACCCAGTGAGTTTTGCTTCACAATACTGTAACATATGATGCCGGAGAAAGCCAGAATTTAGGTTGCTGGTGGTCTCTTCTCAAAAGCAACAAAAAAATGAACTAAGTGAGTTTTGGAAATTTGCCCTTCCTATGGTGATAACTTATTGTAAATAGGATTGTCGGGTATGACTGCTACTGACCATGAAGATTGTGGCTGGGAACAATCCTAACTCAGTGGGAAGTCAGTAATATACTGGTGAAGGGGATTGTGGGACAACGGTACTTCGCTGGGGGAGGGAATGACTCCCACGGGTACTCTGCATAGTGACTCTGAACACAGTATGTGGTAGGCTTGCCTGAGCAGGGAGAAGCTACAGTTTGAACACTGCCTGTGCCTTTACAGACTCAGATATACTCTATCATAGCTCATGAGCCGCACACCGTCTAGCCAACAGCAGAAAAACTGAGCGGCTGAATGCGGCCGGCTTGGTGATCAGAGAAGAGGTGCTGCTGTTCAGGGTCAGGCACTCGTATTACACCCTGAATCAGAGGCAGGTATGCTTCCTGAGACCAAACTGTGGCTTTTCTTTTTAGATGCGATGCTTTTTCCTACCTCAAAAAATTAAATCATTAAAACTATTCCAGCATTAATCCAAGTCAGTTCCTGTAAATTCAAAGAGCTCATAGTAAGATATCAGACTTTTTATTCTTCCATTTCCACCTTGGAAATGTTAGATTTTTAGCCTCACTCATCATTAGTTTCTGGTAAAATCTAAAGATGATTTAAAAAATGCATACCTCAGCACTGTTGAATTCTCAAATCTGAAGATTGTTGATTCATTTTCTATGATTGAGCATGTAGAGCAAATCACAGCAGTAAATCAATGTGTAATTATGATCTTTAAGTCTAACGAACGTTGCTTAATGTAAATTATAAAAACAAAGATATTGCTACAAGTCACTTAGACAACAACCAGGATTGTAAAACCTGTGGGACCTGTGGTCAGTGGTTAAACACCAAAATGACTTGCTAATGTAATGCACTTCTGGTCCAGTCACACTTTACAGTCCAGTTGAACCTGCCTAAACAAGATGGTACACAAACTCGGTTTTACTAATTGGTAAATAGTCAATAACTTGGGTTTTACTTACAATACAGTTGAATATGTGTATTTATTTACTTTTATTTACTTCTTTGCCTCTGTAGAGTGCATTTGAAAATGTAAAATGCATGGCTTGGAGTGCATTAAACCACTTATACCACAGTTACTACACATTTTCCTTAAATGTTTGTACATAAATTCTGAATTAAACTGAATTTGAGAAAACACTGAAGGGTAAGAGGGAAGAGGTGGGAAGGGCAAATCTGCAGAGCACATAGAGCACTTATAACCCTATATATTTCAAGAGAATCACAGAGAGTGAAAAAATTGTAAGAGAAAGAGGATTGGAAATTAGCGGGAGAACATTGTAAACTGAATTTAAGAAAACACTTCTTTACACAGTGTGTAGTTAGAGTATGGAATAGTCTTCCTGCTAGTGTAGTGCAAGCTAAAACCCTGGGTTCCTTTAGATCAGAGCTAGATAAGATTTTAACAACTCTGAGCTGTTAGTTAACTTCTCCCCAAACGAACTTAATGGGCCGAATGGCCTCCTCTTCATTGTAAATTTCTTATGTTCTTATGTTCTTATGTCTGGCCTTTGGACTTAGCAATGGTAAATTTTGAACTAACAACTGGCTTAAGGTCTTAGTGGAAAATTTTTGAATTAACGATGATGGCTTGGGTTATATGTAGGCTAAATTTCAATAGTTGTTCTAGTAATAGATTTATTTTTGATTCAAAACATGAGTATGTCTTTAGGGACAAACATGTAAGCCAAGTATGTAGTAACTGTGGAATAAGGGTTAGGTGGTACTTTGCCTGTACTGTACATCCATGCCTTTAAACATGTACAATATATGGCTTGTCACGCATTAACCCTTAGATATTCTGCTTGTAGTATGGTTATATCGACTGCCCCTCATACTTCCTGGAGGTTTTCTATGTTCGTTTCAAATGTTGTCTAGTGACTAATGCTGATCCATAATTTATGTCTGACAGCTCAGTCCAGTGCAGGTGGGTTAGCAGGGGGGGGAGTACACTTAGGTTGTTGTATTTTGACAGCTGGTCTATATCTGAAAAACATTCAGCTTGAAAAAAATAGCCTGTAATTTAATTTGGTAAGAGACTGGGATAGTAGTGTGTGCAACAGAGAGGGAGTGTGTGTAACCGATGTTCCACACCCCCCCCATCCTGTACTCTCAGATATGATGGACTCTCCCAGGACTGTAGGCTACTCCATACTACTTGACTTTATCATAACTCAAAGACATTGGATCCTGAATGAAAGTGATGGGAAATGGCACTGGCTGTAGCGGGGTTTGTTTGGATTAAGTTCTACATATCGTGATACTGCCCATATCTCACCTGTGGGTGGCGCTGTGAATGGGATGTTAATCGGTGATCTGTTATGTTGACTGATTTACCTGAACCTTCTACACATCGCCACCCACCGACATTTGTGCACCTTGCATGTTTCCCAAATGGGTTTTACCACCAGCTGTGCCAGTCAGGGGTAAACTTCAATTTTTTGAAGGGTATAATGGCAGATTAGGATCTCAAACATTGTTTCCTTTCATCTCCTATTCCCATGGGTCATTACAGAGATAGGGCTGTAAAATTGGAATGGAAACACCTTCCCCAGGAATACGGGAAATGAGTTCAGCACTACCCCCTGGGTTTTCCGGGTTTTGGGGAATTAAAGGAGAGTTTTGTTCATTTGACAATTTACATGTTAATGTGGAGTTAAGTGAACAACAAAGCTAAACAGGAGAGGAGCCATCAGCAGCAATCGTGCTATCTGGCACTCTATGGGGGAGTTGCTAGTTTAATCAATAAATGGAGAATATGCTCTATGGCCAAACAGTAAAAGAAAGCAATTCTTTATCTGTTCCTTGCCTTTCATATTAGCCTGGATTTTCAAAGATCACTGCTAATGGAATGGAAAAAGAATCAGCCGCAATATAAATGAGGCCTTTATTTGTCCAGTTGACTGAAGTGTTGGCCAGTTTGAAGTGATATACTGCAGATACTTATCCTTAGCTGTCCCCTCTTGTTTCTCTCTCCCTTACCTTTGATCCCATTCTCCACCTTCTTTTACAAGACCACTTTGAACAGATCAGTTCACTTTACAAGCCCAAAAATGATATCTTACTGCCCAAGCACCCCGAAATTAGAACAGAGGAGTGTAGTGTATAAGCCTGCTAATGATGATGTTAGTGAAGACATTAGTGATCCTAAAAAATAGAAACACAAATAACAGATAGCCCTTTAATTATAACGGTGGCCTTTTACCAGCAATTACACCATGGTAATCAGTAACGGACATGCCTGAAGCCTGAAGACCCACACAGCAAACAGAACATTCTTGACTTATACCATCTATAAATGAGTCTTGACGGTACCTGATACTCACAAAGGTAAATCTGCACAAAACTGAATGGGATCAAAACAATTTTAAGAACATAAGAAATTTACAAACGAGAGGAGACCATTTGGCCCATCAAGTTTGTTTGGGGAGAACTTACTGTAACTAATAGCTCAGAGTTGTTAAAATCTTATCTAGCTCTGATTTAAAGGAACCCAGGGTTTTAGCTTCCGCTACACTAGCAGGAAGACTGTTCCATACTCTAACTACACACTGTGTAAAGAAGTGTTTTCTTAAATTCAGTTTACAATGTTCTCCCGCTAATTTCCAATCCTCTTTCTCTTACAATTTTTTCACTCTCTGTGATTCTCTTGCAATATATAGGGTTATAAGTGCTCTGCGTGCTCTGCAGATTTGCCCTTCCCACCTCTTACCCTTCACACCCTCCTCCCAGCCCTATGCTGTGACCTTGACCCTGGTACTCCCTCTATTTCAGCGGGGCCTTCTCCGAGGTCGTCCTGGCTCAGGAAAAGACCACAGGGAAGATGTTTGCTGTCAAGTGTATCCCCAAGAAGGCGCTGAAGGGCAAGGAGAGCAGCATAGAGAATGAGATCGCTGTGCTTCGCAAGTAAGTGCTTGCCCCCTCCCCACCCCAACCATGTCTACCACGGCTTTCCATGGGAACTGCCATGGCCGCGGACATAGGACCACACATACATCTGAGGGGACCCAGCATGAAGACACAGAACACACTTGCCTGACTCTTACTGATATGTCAGAAATAATAGCATCTATCATCTAATATCTACCTATAATGTGTATGTAAAGCATATACCAGTGTCCATCCATCCATTTTTCTGTAACTGCATTTCCTATTCAGAGTCGTGGTGGGTCCTATACTGGATGTACAGGCACAAGGCAGGGAACAACCAGGGTGGGACACCAGCCCATTGCAGGGTACACTCACACACCATTCACACACACATGCACACCTATGGGCAATTTGGTAACTCCAATTAGCCTTATCATCGGGGCTTTGGGGGGGACACTGGAGTAACTGGAGGAAATCCCATAATGACATGGGGTGAAGATGCAAACTCCACACCCATGAAGTCAGGGCGGGTAGGCTAGCCATAGATTTGCCATAGACTTTATATTATGTCGATTTGATCTTCAAGAAAATGTAAGCTATTGAAGAAAGCACAGATTCACAACCTTTTCCCCCTGTCACCTTTGCCCTTTCTGGGCCACTCACTGGCAGCTCTGTGGTTTCCTGAGACCCTCAGAGTGTGCTGTTTACTCCTCCCCAGGCAAGTGAGGGATGTGGAATTGCAATTCCTCCCCTTTCCTGGAGGTTGGATACTCCAGCTGAACTTCATGGGGGGGGCATCCAGCATGAACCTCACATGCCTGCTTACACAACAGATCGCAGAGGCTCTGCAGAAAGAAATGCTTCTTCTGTGGGCACTTCCGAGCCCACTGCTCTCATACTTATGCTAACCGGTAATGGGTATCCGGCTTGAAAGCTGTGTCCGTGGAGAGACATTACAAAATTACAGCACAGTCACCAACTGATATGAAGACTAAAGAGACTGAATTAAATAAAAAGAGTGGTGAGAGGAGATGATCTGTCTGTCCATTATAAACCAATGCACCTCTCAGTCTGAGGGTAAAGCCGAAACAGACAGAGCCATGAACTAGGCCAGAGTTTTTGTTGTTTGATCCATTCATCCATCCATTCATTCATCTATTCATCCAACTTTCAGTCAATTGTCTTAGGGAGCCTGAAGCCTGTCACAGGAATCACATTGCTCCAGGCGGGGGATACCTTAGGCATGATGCTTGTCCATCTTAGGACACACAAACACAAACACACACACACACACACACACACACATACATGTTGGTGTACCTATCTATATGGGGACATTCATTTACAGTATATGGGGAAAAACCCCTAATCCAGCTATGAAAACCTTAATCCCTACATAGCCCTACCCTTAACTATAAGTAACCAAACAAAATGCAAGACTGTCAGGTTTTACCCTGACAATAAATACAACCCCCTTCCACACAAACACACAGACTATGGGCAATTTGGGGATGACAGTTTGCCATACTACATTTTTTTGCATTGTGAGAATAAACCGGAGTACCTAGAGGAATTTCACATAACATGTAGGGAACGTGTCCTCTGCCACTTGTATTGTGAACTGAAAAGCATTTTTACTTGTCATGGTGAAGGCGTGGACAGGGATTTTTGCTTTCAGAAGTTCAGTTCCCAGACAGGAAGGGCTTACCTGTCATCGGATGAGGCCACCATAGCCTACCCCCCTCCCTGTGTGGCCTCTGGCTCAGGATGAGTTGATTCCGCTGAGCTTCTCATGGCAGCTCCCCGACTGCAGGCAACATGTTACCCAGTCTGAGCAGAGAGCTTGTATTTACTGTGGTCACATGCAGCGTCATGTTAATGCAAGACATCTGATGTTTTAATGAGTTACTCCTAATGACTTGTTTTATTGTGCAAATACATTGGGATGAATAACTACCAAATGTCATGGGACATGCACAGTTATGAATGAAACATCTTTATTCTATTAATTAACAGCATGATGACCTGCCTGTTAATTACGACTTCAATCCATCATACACGGTTTGCATACATTTATGTTGAAAAGCTGGTGTTTTTTTCTAGTGCATGAGAGAGTTGATTAATATTATAAAGCTGGTGGTCTTTTGTTCTACAGTACATCATGGAGGACGTGACTGATGTTAAGAAGATGGTCGGTCTGTGTTACTCTCCATGGAGGATTTGATTGACTTTAGAAAGCTGAAGATGTTATGTTACACATTGTGCAGGACTTGACTTATGCTCATGTTAGGTATTGAGGATTAGCGATAGTTTAGTTCATTTCAGAGATGTTCTGCCAAGTTGACTGCTGTTCTCTGCAAGTCAGCATGTTGGCATATTTTAATGTCACATCCATTATCCTGCAGTTAGGTGGGGCCCCAATTACTAGAAAGGTGTTACGGTGGATTTCACAAACTTAGGAACATTACTTAATGATTGTCTTCTTGCTTTCATATTTGTAATGATTAAGGCAGGACACTTACTCTGAAGCACATTACAGAACCAACCCACAGTGAACTTGTGATGGATGTGACAGGTATGAGAGAATACGTGTTTGGAGTCCAAGTGTGTTTCAGATAGCTCAATTTCTACAGAGATGCTCTCATCCATGTGTGAGACACATCCTAGGCTGTACCTGTAAGGAGTTAGCTTTAGTCAGCCTGGGTGTTATGGCACTTCAGGCAGGACGTTAAAACACTCACCCATTTACGCTTTTCGTTATGCATGGGTGGAGTATAACAATGCTGAAAGTGGAATGGAGAGCACTAACCTGGAGAAAGACCCCACTTTGAAGAGGCTTCCTCTGACTGCCTGTCTCCCATCATCCTGCTTGTTTCCATTTCTGAGATTCGCTGAAACACGGCAGAATATTAATGGATCAGTACACTCCTTGATTGTGGTTGTGGCATCCAGTTTCTTTCCCTTACATTTTCTTACTGACTGTATTATACTGGGGGGCAGTGTGTGGTTAGTGTGCCTGTAATCGGCAGGCTGCTGGTTCCAGCCCAGCCGCGGCACATTGGCAGGTTCTTGAGCAAGGCACCTAACCCCCAGCTCCCTGGGCGCTGCAACAAGTGGCTGCCTTTCGTAGCCGGCTTGTTCTCACCTACAGAAAGCAAGTTCTGGGAGGCGCAAAGAAAATTTCCCCACGGGAATCAATAAAGTATCGATTATTATTATTATATACCTATATTCCTGAACAAGACACATTTTGATGTAGACTGTAGGTATTGTGTTAGCATCATACAAGGATGTACAACCATATGCACGTATACTGAACATATAGGAAATGTCGACTTATGTTTGCCAGCTTGTCATGTACGCCATTTAACCAGAGTTGCATCTCAACGATCCTCACAGTCACCTACAGCCTAGGAATTACTTTTAGATTTTGCTTGGTACCCCTAGAGCAGGGGTCTCCAACACCGGTCCTGGAGAGCTACTATCCAGTAGGTTTTCTGTCCCACTTGGCTTCTGATGAGCTGCACCTGCTCCTGGTATTTACCTGAGAACAGGTGTGGCTCATCAGAAGCCGGGTATGATAGAAAACCTACTGGACGGTAGCTCTCCAGGACCGGAGTTGGAGACCCCTGCCCTAGAGTCTAGTGGCCTAGTAGCTATAACTGAAGATATAATAGTCAAGTGTTAAATCCTGTTTGTTTCATTACTCATCAATGTACCACTGCCTAAGGACTCACCCTGTACAATGACTTACTTACATATATGGGCAAACTTTTGAGTTGTACGGTGATTGGTCCTCGACTACAGAATCACTATTTAACTATGCCCAGATTGGCTGACACAATACACTATAGTAAGCTCTGTGTTCTGTAGTAAACATTAATATTATATTTCTTGGGTCTTTCCAGCATAAAGGTTTTTGTTGAATTTTTCAGGCAGTGTTTTATATTATATTAATATATTTATAATATAATATATTATATTATATATTCATAGCAAATGTAAGCTGTCTGTCACATCTGTGTTTTAATAGTGCATCTCTGAACTCATTATGTTATGTGGACTTTCACAGTCGATGGAATTTGTGACTTTGAAATGGCATTGAAGTGTTTAATTGTAGTTCCTTGGCTTTTTCTTTTGTGCTGTATTCATATTTATGAAGGAAGACCTGGCTACTGGAGTGAGAATATTCTGGAGGAGTTCACACTCTAGGAGTCAAAAGCTTTATGATGACAAAAACATTACACTTTTGTGTGAGTCCTAGTAACCTGTAAGAAAATTGTTGTCACATAAAACCTTACAGACATATAAAAATTACATAATTTAAAGCTGGTATTCATTGGATATCATCTTCTGTTTTCATGCTCTGGGCAGCCAAGCCCTGTCTTCAGCAAGCTCCCTGGAACATTTATATGGGAACGTTGACTGTTGGTCTTGTGATTCCTAACAGCAGAGTGACTGAAAGTCTTTTATTGCTTGTCAAATGACCCAATAAGTGTTAACTTCAACTGGGAGCAGGACCCTTCCTGTTGATAGACAGTTTGTCAGAGCTAACTTATCCCTTGCTAACACAAACCTTTCTCAGCGGCTTACAGACTGCAGTAGCAAAGGTGTTTTCCTCTTGTGTGTGATTCATATGACCCTCAATCAAGGGATGATACACGTCACTTCCTTGCGTCTGGTTAAACAGATAAACACACCACAGTGGTGCTCTGTTTGTGTCTGTTTGTGAGGGCAACGCTAGCCAAAACCACCCAGAAAGTATTTAGCATTAGCCTCTTTGTTGTGTGTGTTATTACTCAGAGTGCTGAGTCTGAGAAACAGCCTTCGGGGCAGACAATGGGGGGGGGGGGGGTCGCTGGATACCGATCCATGGACAAGCCACAACAGCAGCATTAGCACATAGCGTTTAAGCAGAACACCTGTGTTGTGCTTGGAACACCAGCCTCCAGCAGCAACCAACAGCTCAGGTGCACCAACATTATGGGCCGATACACAGTTTATCCTGGGATACCCCCAATAGGGACTGGGGGACAACCTCGGCACTGAGAGCTGCATTGTTCAAAGAAGTAAGGATAAAATATTAAGATGTTTTACAGAGGATTAAAAAATGACTATTGTCATGATCTCCTACCTCCTCTCGCTTGTTTTGTCTGTGTCTTGCACCCCTGTGTACCTCCTCCTCTTCTCTCCACTATCATTACCAGAGTGTAAATGTGAAGTCGTGCCTCAGCCCCTGCAGATCCAACCCCCCCAGCCATGGTGGGTGGCTGCCCACACTGCATGTCTCATGGCAATGGCAAGCGTTGGCGGCTCCCTCCTAATCCCATTGCGGCACTGCCTTCCCTCTTCTGAAAATACAGCACCCGCTAATGGCCCTCACTAAAAGGCAATCTTACAGACCTCAGTAACAACACCCTGTGCCCCTACCGAGGTGGGCCTACATGGCTAGTGGTGTAATATTCATTAACAGCCCTCACAAATACCATCTTAATTATGACAGCTTTTGCCATACCTTTCAATAATTCTGCCATTCTCCCGATGTTCCCACAACTCTCGTTAAATGTTATAGATTCCCCCATAGTTCCTGCTAAAACTTCTCTCATCTGGATGCTAACACATGGCCATCATCCATTCTCCCAAAATCCTCATGCCAACATTCCTCATCCAGATGCTAAAACGGTCATCATCCAGATTGTCCCAAAATTCTCATTACAATGTTCTTCATCTGGATGCTAACACACCTTTCGGCCAGATGCAAACATAGCCCTTATCCAATTATCCCACAATCCTCGATATGATATCCCTCATCCATCTATCCATTTGCTAACTAATGCACCCTTCATCCAGATACTAATATACCCCATGCCAGAACATCCCTACTGCAGGTGGTACCACATCATTGATATCACTGTTGCCCAGATGCTACCACAGACCAGGCTAACACACCACTTGTCTGCCTGTTAACATGACCCTCATCAAGGATAGCACAGCTCTCGCTAACATGGTCCTTATCCAAATGCTGACACAACTTTGGCTAGCATGTCCCTTGTCTAAATGCTTACACGCCTCTCATCCAGATGCTAACAGATCCCACACTAATGCATACCTTAGCCAGATGCTAACACAGCATCGCAGCCAGCTGAGGCCATCCCATGTTCTTCGTTCAAAGATCATAATTGCACCTAATTCTCCACTAGGTAGAGTCAAGGTAGAACATGAACATTAATGTTTAAGTCACATCCTGAAGCAAGCAGAATTTATAGCTTAGAAAGTAGCCCTGGCCTAGTACTGCCAGGCCATGATTCTATGAAAGCTTCGTCTCACTCTGACCAGGTAGTCACTGGCTGATGCCATATGAGGCCTGTTCACCATCAACACCCAGCTAAAGGTCATCACAGCTACGTCACACTCTAATAGCTTAGCTTTTCCACAACTGCTCCCAATGCACAAGATGCTTTTAGAGCCAACTTGTCGGTCGACAGCCTAGTATCACGTGACATGTCTCTGTCCAGGCCTCCTGCCACCTGTTTTCTTGTTATTGTCCCCTGTCACCATGGTTCCCAGGACTGTCATCATGACCCTCTGGGCTCATCAGTACTGTGGAATCGATTAGCATCAGTCCTGTAAACACATCCTCATGTGTACACACACGTATTTGCCATGAGCTGGTTGCCGGGGTAATTTACCACAGAGGCGTGGGCTTTGGCAGCTGCGGGGGAGGGAAGAGAGGTAGGACAGAGGAGCTAGAGTCTGTGTCCTGCACCCTGGAGAATTCGGTGCATTAACAAGCACAAGGGATGTGTGTTATTGATGTGATGATGAGTGACCAAAGGCATCGGATGAGAGGACACCCATGTGGTAAACAACTTGGAGGACTGTGACATACAGGTTCTTAAAGACATGCATGTAAGCTCACATGCACAGATATGGTTACAGGGACTGGGAAGTGGGCATACAGCGATGTTTTCAAGCTGCGTGCCGACCCGGTCACATGGATGGTAAGGCTACAGTTACCACAGGAACATCTATAGCCTCCGAAGAGCCACATAAGGAGTATGAACAATACAGGCTTATATGGGAATCTGTGGTGTTAAAATATTCAGGTGTTAATAATGGCCATCTTAGTCAGCCTGGGTCCATTCTGCCACATACATATTAAAGCAGCCCTTTATAAATGCATCAGCGCTGCGCTGAATTTCCTGCCCCTTTTCGCTCCATATTACATTGTCATTAATTCCGGCACAGGAAAAAACTCAATGTATTATTAGTTCTGCCCTGTCCTCCTTCATCAGCTATTACTGCATGGCTTTCTACCATGATTTTAATGATGAAAACTTAATGATTTTGCTGGTGGGTGGAGAGGATAGGATGGGCTGAACTGGACTAGCTGAGAATATAAAGTTCTGGGCTTTTCATCTTAAGAGGGAATATGCTGCCAGTGGAAACCACTAAATTATCCTCTGTTTTATTCTTTGTGAGATAAGAGTAATGGATCACTCTAGGATCGGCTGAACTGGGCTGGCTGAGAATATAGAGTTCTGGGCTCTGCTACCACTATTTCTACTCCTAATATCAGTGAACAATTTTCCTTTTGGGTGTTTCTGTCTTAAAGCAATTGTCAATGATTCTGTGGCTGGTCATCCTTCTTTTGGGAATCCATAGAGTCTTATTTTCTGTTCACTCTGATGAAATCTTAATGAGTGGCTCCAGTGGGCCAGTTTCTCTGCAGCAGCATCTATTCTCCATATTGGTCTATTTTCTTCAAGGAATTAAGGCCACTATTGGTCTGCTTTCTCAGAGAAAACACTTAAGTCTCCTACTGGTTTTTTCTTTCCACATATATGACTAAGACTTGTTCTTTGTCATACTGAAGGAAGGAAGAAATTGTGTTTTAAATTAAACATTCTTGAATCTCAGCCTGTGTATGTGTGTGTTTGTGAGATGTACCTAGTTACTCTATGATTTATATACTCATAAATATCACAGCATAGCATTGTGCTCAGGGAACTGGACTTGGGGCTTTTATTCCCACAGTGGGAGCCGATGTACCTTTCAGCAGGGGTTTGTTTATTTCAGTTAATGTCAAATTTAAAAAAAAATGTCTTCTGAGTAATTGGGTAAAATAATGTTAATATGTGGAGTCGCTGACCTGATTTTTTTCTTCCAGAATAAAGCACGAGAACATTGTGGCCCTGGAGGACATTTACGAAAGCTCCAACCACCTCTACCTGATCATGCAGCTGTGAGTAAGCCCCCCCACCACGGGTTAGCCATGAACTCCGAGATATGGTCACCACCTCAGCTCCCATGAGATGCACACCAGCATACATGCATGTGTTTAGCGCATAAATGAGCCCCTTACCACTAGAGGGCACCATCTTTAGGACATCATCATAACCCAGCCTTAAATAATGGTTCCAGAGCTGTTTACTTTACCGCCTGTCACGTGGATAGACATGGAGTTGCGATTAAGCTGGTTGCTTTTTACCTCGGCTCCACAGAGCTGCTTCCTGGATGATTCAGACACACCTGCGACAGGTGCTGGCTAGCCAAATCCCGCCATCTGCCGCCTCGTGAGTCGTTGGTTAGCAACATGCTGTCCACCAACACTACGCATCGGTGCTACGTTCCTTGGAAAAATAATACCCCAGGTTGTTTTACGCAGATGATTTCCATGTATCTGTCACGCCTGAGGGGAGCGGGAGGAAACCCGGCTGGCAGCCGGACAGGCCCAGTTTGGAGATGCTGAGATCTTTCCTCACATACACTGCATACACTGAGAAGATTCTGCTTCTTGTAGATCAGTGGGGGCAGCTTGGGTTAGTTTTACCCAGAATTTATATTTGTGCTGTGTAAGCCTGATTTATACTCTTCCGGAAGCTATTGTTAAAAGAACCAGAAGACAGGAGGCTCAGGGATGCAACACTGCTCTATTGCCAACCATCATTGTCTGCTTGGATTGGGCCAAAACTCCTGCATGTGGCAAGCTGCAAACTGAAAGTCTCACATTTTTAAAAAGTCCTCCCTTCATCTCCTCTGTGCCACCCCCTTGTCACCAACCGTTATCCCCTTAATGCCCCTGGGTCCCTCCTTGCAGACCTGAAGACCTCACCCGTCTTACCCCTGATAAACCAACTTTGCACTACTTTTCCATCTACATTACCCTGCAAATCCAGTCAGAAATCTCCCAAAATCTCTCAAATAACCGTCCCCAGTCCACCACAGCCTCACAGAGCTCCGCACACTCCAACTTTGCTCCTCTGGGGGGAACCCAGAGCAAGACCTCCCCACTCTGAGGCTGGATAACCTTCTGGAGTCATGGTGTTTCCACGGCAATGTGGAGCGGAGAGCAGGCAGCATCATCATGGTCCTTTAAGTTCGCAAATGCAGGACCTCAGAAACCCACTTGACCACATAACCACACACGTGCACACGTGAAACCACAAGATTATTTTCAGCAGGGAGCCCTGGCTCTGCAAAGTGGATGTGTTTCTGTAGACTGTGTGGGCACAGCAAATGCAACAATAATGCATTACTCTGAGGGGCTTATCAACAGAATCTCAGTGTGATTCAGGTGGGCAGAGAAACACCTCATGTTAATTTTGCCTGAAATGAATTCAGGTGTCAGTGTGTCAGTGCAGGGTGGATGAGGGGGGATAGGTGTGATCTGATCTGCATGCAGCCCTGCCTGTCCCTCCCACCATGTAACAGACATGCCTATAGAGCTGCCCATGGGGCTGCTAACACATCTGCCCATGGGGCTGCTTACACACCTTGTTGTGGGGCTGCATAGACACTTGATCTTGGGGCTGCTTACACATCTGATTGTGAAGCTGTTTACACACCTGATCATGGGGGTGCTTACACACCAGATCTTCTGCTCTTTGCCTATGTCTGGCTGATTCCCCATCCTCATGTCTCTGTACAGCAGTGTGTTATGCAGTGTCAAGTGTGAAGAGTCACAGCAAGATGCAGTGTATTGCACAACTGTATGACAGTACATTGGTGTATTCTGGACCCAGATCACAGTGAAGTGTAGTGTGATGCACAGCTGTATGACAGTACAGTGGTGTTTTCTGGACCCAGATCACACTGACATGCAGTGTGTTATGCGTCCGTATGACAGTGTAGTGGTGTGTTCTGGACCCGGATTGCAGTGAAATGCCAGGCGTTACATTGCCGGAGCATGTGGCTTTCTGGGTTTATGCATCATTCTTCTACATCATTCTTTGGTCTCTTTAGACTTTTAATCCGCTCACACTTGTCTAGTTATTGCTGCATAAATCGATGCAAGCTCATTCTTCATCCTCCTCATAGAGTGTAGTTTGGACCCACTCCAAGAGCAGCCCAATGTCAGCATGGTGGTGAAATGCTTATGACTCAAGCTTGGGCAGGTGGGGTGGACCGGGGGGAGTGCACCACTCTCTCCCCCAGCACCATCTGGGCTGCCCGCTGCCTGTCCACTTTGCATTGGTCTTCATTGTGAAAAAATCACTGGCTCTGTTATGCATAACGTCAGCGCTTTGTGTAATAACAGCAAGGGAAAGGGTGGGGCATGCCTTAGTTTGGGGTGACTGCCCCCTGCCTGTGATTAACAGCACACACCACAGGTCTCTTCTACACACCTCCATGCAAGCCATGGGGACAGTGGGTACGATTTTGTTAGCTAATCATGTTGTTAAAAAATAAATGGTAGAAAATTCTGGAAAATGTCACAGAAAGTCCATCACAGACATTAACCGGCTGCTCCCCCGACGCACTGCTCTCGGGTTCCACCAGGGGCAGCTGAACAACGCCACTGCCTCTGACAAGAGATGCCCATCACACATCCTTCCTTTTTTCTCCTCTGGCCCCATTTTCTCAAGAAACTTCATTACAGTGTTAATTTAGATGATGTCTAATTGGATTTGTTACTGTGTTACTGTGGAGCTGCTGTCATGGGCTTTGGATGGTCACGCCTTCCCTGTTAATGAGCTTCACGCATGTGTCATGGCCAGCAATGGGGAATAGCAGGCTAGGGCCTGTGGGTCAGGAGTCTGGTACCGTCACACGGTGACACACCACACTCTGACCGAAATGCGGCACAGACGTATGCTAGGTGGGATGGTCTGTAAAGTTACTCAGGTTATAACTGGATTACATTGAGGCATAACTGCAATAATTATGAGTGAAATATGTCTCAACATGCCTCTTTTTTATTTTGTTTACAAATCTTCCATAATTGCTCTCACGGACAGGAAAGATAGCCGATGACACCAGGGATATCATTTTATTTCGTAACATTATTTTGCAGTAAAAATTTTTTTTTATTTGTTTTTCCTCCCATGATAGAGCCGTATTCCTTTGTATGTTCATCTATCCATCTTCTGTGTGGGAGTGTCGTGTGCTCAGTGAGTTCATCCTCTGCACCTATGTCTGGAATGGTTGCCAGTTAGAATCCTAGCATTGGTAGAATAGTTACATCTCCATTGGTTTTTGGAGCAAGGCTCCTAAGCCCCCTCCAATTGCTAAAGAGATGATCATGTACTTATGAGAGTTGATTCTGCGCTCAGACTCCAGCCTTGGCTTTCAACTATATATGTGTATGTATGTCCCATAGGTGGGAATGAAGGAATATGTGAAAAGAAGCATTCCAACGTACTTGGGCAAATGACAAATCATGCATCATTCTATTTTTCTTTATCCTGTTCAGGGTCACTGGGTCCCATGCCAGTCAGCATAGAGGACAATGCTGGAGTGCCTCCTGGCTAGGAGGCCACCAAGATTTAATATTTATTTTTCATTTCATAACATGCAGTGGTGATTCCTGTGTATGGGATCAGGCTGATAATTGGGGAGCCAGCTCTAATACAAAGCTGCTGACATAGAAAGGTGACGGGACGTTTATACTGAAAAAAGCTTGGTTATGCAAGGGCCAGTGCACCTGGACATGGATAGCACAAGGATGCAGTTTCTCACGAGCTCGGAACTCACGTACACTTGCTATAGATGTTACTTGTTTGCTGGAAATGTAAATGTGCTCAGCAGTGAAAAGCTAATTTTGGTCTGAAAGGCAGCAGCTGCAGTTTTATGATACAGAGCCTGAGGCTGGGCAGCTTAGGAGATGTGTCTGTGACTATCAATCCAGCAAGCAGAGCACTACCTTTGGGCCTGAAGTGCTAGCTAAGACCGTCTATTTAAAGATAGTGAATCCCAGTGAGTGGTAAAGCTAGAGGGTAAGGGGGTGGAGCAGTAGACTGGACACTGCGACGGACAGGTCCTTGATCTATATAGCAGCAAGGGCAGGGGGAGGAGCACCAGGCTGAGCTCTGTTACAGACAGGTCCTTGCTCCATATAGCAACAAAGGCAGGGGGCAAGGGGTGGAGCGTCAGGCTGGCACTGTAACGCAATGGACTGTGGGGCTTGAGAGCAATAGGGCTGGAGGAGGGGCATAAACCAATGCACTTGAGAGGCAGCTTACCGTCAGGATAACCTCCAGGGAGTATTAGAGATTCTGAGATTAGAGCAGTGTGGAATGTGCAGAGCTGACCAGGGATTAGCTTTGCCTCATTGCAGTAGCTTGAACTAGTTTATCACGTGGTAGGAAAGTGATGGTGTTACTGGCTATTAAGATGTATTTTGATGGTATTGGAAAGGGGATTCATAGGAGAAAATGACTTTATCAGGGAGTCCAATCCCTGTATCCCTGATGTTTTTCTTGAAAAGAAGTGGCTGCTTTGCTGCCCTTCTTGACACCAGGCCATCCTCCAAAAGTCTTCACCTCACATCTGCCTGCTGCCATTCCTGAGCAAGCTCTGCACTGGTGGTGCCCCGATCCTGCAGCTGAATCAACTTTAGGAGAAGGTCCTGGTGCTTGCTGGACTTTCTTGGGCACACTGAAGCCTTCATCACATCCTTGAAGTTCTTGATGATCCGATAAATGGTTGATTTAAGTGCAATCTTACTAGCAGCAAAATCCTTGCCTGCGAAGCCCTTTTTGTGCAAAGCAATGATGACTGTACATGTTTCCTTGCAGGTAACCATGGTTAACAGAGGAACAATGATTTCAAGCACCATCCTCATTTTAAAGCATCCAGTTTGCTATTCTAACTCAATCAGCATGATAGAGTGATCCCCAACCTTGTCCTAGTCAACAATCTCACCTATTTTAATGAGAGAATCACTGAAATGATGTCAGCAGGTCCTTTTGTGGCAGGGCTGAAATGCAGTGGAAATGGGTTTTTGGGATTAAGTTCATTATCATGGCAAAGAGGGACATTGCAATTAATTGCAATTCATTTGTTCACTCTTCATAACATTCAGGAGTTTATGCACATTGGCTTCATAAAAATTGAGGCAGCAGACTTTGTGAAAATCAATATTTGTGTCATTCTCAAAACTTTTGGCCACTTCTGTAGTTATTCATGGTGGTATCATACAGGGGTGATTCTAGGATGTCATCCCCCCATAATTAAATTTGCAGAGAGGAGGGGGGATCCCCACAATAAAGTTTGCTGAGCCGGGGGTACGAAATGTATATGAAAATCCAGGACAAATCAGTAAATGGTTTTAGAAACACTATTGTTAAGTGCCTTCGACAAAAAACACGGGGCTGAAGCCCCACTAAATAATGTCTAGAACCACATATAGTACCATAGTGGTATTATTGTGTTATTGTGGAGATATTATGATGATGGCAGCATATCTTTGTAATACCTTCATGATTGTATCATGTGGTATCATTGTGGCATCCAGTTAGTATTGTGATAGTATTGCGGTATTTTGTTATTATATTGGTGAGGTGACAGGAGACTCAGTAATTACTCAAATATAGCACATAAGATCAGAAGTAGAGTGAACTCTTGAAGACTAGATCTGTCAGGTCCTGGAAAGGAGAAGTTTCAGTTTTTTGTATTTCCCACATGCGATTAAATAATCATATTTGCTGGAACAATCATTGCACCAGTGCATGTTGTGCCTTCCACTGCGTCAGTGGACTGCCGCAGTCTCTACCATGGCCAGGAGCCTGTTACATCCTCCCTGCCATTTGTCCCTCACTGGCCTGGACCGAACACAGACGGCCTATGATTTCTGGTGGGGGTGGGAGGGTCGCTTCTCTCCCAGAATGCATCTCCAGTGACGTCAGTGCTTTCTGTGGCAGACATGCGTGGGAAAACACATCTGCAGTGTTACGTGAAGGGCATCTGTTTGGCTATTGTAAAAAGACATGCTCATACTCATTAAAGGAAATACTCTGCACCAGAAGAGGGAGCCAGACCCCTTATAAACTCTAAAATATGAATATAACATTAACCTGAAATAAGATATTGCTCCCTTGGTGTTAACTATGTACAGAGGAAAATGCTTTTTCAGGAACTGCATTTCTTAGACTTTGTTGTTATATAATAAGGCTTCTGCTCGCTGCCTTGAACTGTTCAGATGAAAGATGGTTTCAATTTCCCAACACCAGAGTCTGGTTATTGCGGCTGGTTTTATCTAATGATGTTTTCCACACGCCCCGGGACATAGATCTCCGCAGAGCAACCCCCTTCTGTGGATATATCCTTCATAACACCTGGTATCAGTCGCTCTGACTTTTTCCATTCTAATGATTACAGCAAGGTGACTGTAACTGCCCCCTTGTGGCAAACATTCTTGGGTGCCTGTGTGCTGAAATGTGAGTGTGTATGCTGACGCATGATCGATCACACAACCATAACGAACAGTGTCTCCATCTCTGCCCATAAAGCTCAGAGTCCCAAGATGTCTCCTCTAATCGCAGACCCCAACACCATCTCGCTAAGGACACAGAGCAGGATGGTCGATACAAGATGGCTTCAGTGTGCTGGTTCTCACTCTAGTTCAGATTGTAACTCTTAACTTTGAAGTAATTGTCAGATTGATGATTCTGCTCACGTGCTTTGAGAGATAACAGATACCCACTCTGCATCCTCTTTGTGGCAAATGAGTCCAAGTTGTTTGCATTGATTATTGCCATCTGTCCCTCTTTCCAATAAGGTGAATTGGTGTGTTTTAGCTCCCAGTAACCTGGATATATTTCAAACATCAGTTCCCCACTTGTGTGCAGTCACTGATTTGTGTTGGTTTTTGTTTTTGGATCGGTTGTCCGGTGTGATCAGCCTGTCCTTCTTCTGCCCCAAATTCAAGTACACAGTGATTTCCTTTCAAGTCCCCTCTCACACGCATTGGACAGTGTTGAGTTCTTAGCCTTTGGCATCTTTGTTTCCTCACAACTGTTCTGCCTGGTTTCTTGGCTCCCCAAATCCTGTACTTCCAAGATTCTGTACATCTATACTACCTGCCCTTCCTGTATCTTCATGTGTCAAAGCTGTCCGTGGTTACTGTTTTCTCTTGCCTCTCAACTGCCTGTCTTTCCTGTATCCTCTGGTGTCTGTGCTGCCTGGGGTTCCTGTTTCCTCCTGTGTCTGTCCTGCGTGACTTCCTGTTTCTTTATGTGTGAGAGCTGCCTGAGATTCCTGCTTCCCCTTGTTTCTGTCCTGTTTGACTTCCTGTTTTTCCTTCCATCTGTACTACATGCCAATACCTGTTTGCTGTCCCTAGGCTTGGTGTAATGTTCACAGAACAGTGTCCCATTAGCGAAGAATAAGACAACTACAATGGTCAGATATAACGACAGTGATTGTCCCACTAAGGCATCTCAGAAGCATGGCAGCATCCCTTAATGTCCTTGTTACACTGCAGTGGAGGCGTTTACTACTTATAAAAAACCCCTGGCACTGGTCAGGACCACTGACCCTTTCAGCACTGTTACCATTCCTGCCAAGTTCAGCAGTCCTATGTGGACTTGTTGGTTGGCTGGGATGTATGAGGGTGACAATGAGGAGCTGGGGAAAGGTTTCCTTACCCCTCAATCGTAAAAACCATATTTCTGACAACCCAGAAGACTCCTAGCATTAGCATGCTTCTGTACCAGTGTGAGTAGGGAGGTTCCGGGAGGCGGGGTTCACCCAGAGCTTCCCATGATTGACCATATTTCACACCATCTCATCTTACCTGTGGTTGTGCTACAATCTTTCAGGAGACATGGCCTGCTCTTTCTGGTGTGGGCCTTTATCGTGGAAAGTTTGTGACCCTCTGAAGCAGATCGCACACATCAAAGAGCTTCTCCTGTCATCCATGCAGGGTGTCAGGGGGTGAGCTGTTTGACCGCATTGTGGAGAAGGGCTTCTACACAGAGAAGGATGCCAGCACGCTGATCAGGCAGGTGCTAGATGCAGTCAACTACCTCCACAAGATGGGCATCGTTCACAGGGACCTCAAGGTACTCGCACAGTCATACATTGACAGGCACGCATGTATGCACATGCACACTCACACTGCTTATGAACAGCCGCCTCTGTGGGGACTTTCCAGTGACTCACTTTAATGCCATTAACAACTCATAACTCCACCCCAACAGACATAAAAAAACTGAGGAAAACTGGCACCAAAATGACATTTATGTTGGGTTGATTACACACATGCTGTACACATGAAGATACATCACAGTCACAATTTATTTACATTTGTTTATATAACAGATGCTTTTATCCAAAGCTACATACAAATGAGAAGGAAGAATCAGTATTTGAGGGCTAAGGGCCTTGCTCAAGGGGCCCAATGGTGATGCCATTCTGCTGAACGCGATTTGAACAAGCAACCTTCCGATCAGTCATGTACACATGCCTCATTTGCACATGCAGGGTTTACTTACACTCCACATGTGGGTGTCCTCTCTTTTCAGCCAGAAAATCTTCTGTACTTCAACCCACAAGATGAGTCAAAAATCATGATCAGTGACTTTGGTCTTTCCAAGATGGAGGGCACGGGTGATGTCATGTCTACCGCTTGCGGGACACCAGGATACGTAGGTAAAGTGTACATCCACTATCGGCAGCTACTGCCACTCTTTGCTAAGATGCTTTTTCTAGGCATGGGCTCTGAGGCTCAGATTATAGTGGGAATCTGTGCAGAGTGAGCCATAGGTTGTGATTGGGAGACACCTGCTTGCAGAAACAACAATTTGCTGTTGTTCCTTTCAGAGAAAGGGACTAATCAGCCAGAGTATCTCAGCCGGCCGGTACCAAATGTCTTAGCTGGCCTGACAGGTGCCTGCAAATTGCTTCGCTCAGCTACAGGGTGGTTGTAGATTCAGTATAAAAAAACATGGCATCATCTGCCACCTGGTGCGTCCATTACTCCCAAAGGCAGGCGAGTCGAGTAACAGTTCCGGATACAAAGAGAGCGTGGCTCAGATGCTGTAGATTTTGTCAGAGATCCAGAATTGCCTTTAAATTTGAACAGATTGGATAATATACCTAATATGACAGGCCTAATACTTAATTCTATATCTGTAGTCCTACATGTTTGCACTGATTGAGGACCCAGGAACATGGAGCAGATGGTTTTGACATATTTATGCTAAAATGTGCAGCATGGGGATAAACAACAACGACGCGTCCTTGCATTTTAATCAATTGCCTTAAGGCTCCTTTCACAAAAACACACCAATCACAAGCATTAGACACTGACCTCTGGTTCAAGGGCTCATGGGATATTTTTCTGGCATTCTGGGCCGCCGGGGTGGCCTGCATGGAAGGTTTCTGGCTGTACTTCGCGACGGCAGGGCATGCAGGCTGCGAGCAGCACACGCACCATAGAGAGGGGAAGCCGAAACAGTCAGCTTTTCCGCTCTAATGGGCGCTGCTCTTTAGTTGAAGGTTTACATGCTAGTGAGAGAGAGAGAGAGAAAGAGAGAGAGAGAGAGAGAGAGAGAGAGAACAGAACCGAGAAATGCCGGAACCTGACCTGGGCCGATATACGTTGTACCAATAGACATCATTGTTTATTATGCATTTGGCTTTAATTAAGGCTAAAGAGCAGAAGTCCTATGCATGCTAACAGCTATGCAGAGGATGAGTGACGTAAACAGGCCCAAAATAGAGGCTGGCGTCCTGCTCGCTGAATGAAGTGGCTCAGTGGGCTCCAGTGGGCGGCTGTCCATGCCCGGAGGAGCAGGTGGATCCGTCGGGCCGCCGCTCAAGGCCGCACGCAGTCAGAAAATATGGCTATTTCTTCCAAGCGTGATGCCTGTTCCCAGGGATGAACCACCGACCAGAGGGGGGGGGGGGGGGCGCACTTTTTACAGCTTTGTAACAATAGCCAGATATGAGCCGTGCTCGTCCAGGGAAGGCAGTTTTGTCATCTTACAGTATGGTTTTTTGAGGTGTCAATCCCCCACCACCACCACCTATTGCATCTCATTTCAGTTTGTGTACCAGATTGAAGATATATAGCAAATGGACAGGAAAACAGATGGCAGATCCATTTTATGTGACACCCTCTGCATAAATGCATGTGCAATTTAAATTTAAATGAATAAATACACCAGAGATCACAGTGTCTGGCTTTGGACTGAATCAGGATACGTTCTCGTCCTTGTTTTTGAGCAGAGAATTCGACTGACCCTCCGGCTAAAATGCCGTATTCTGGGGAATGGGCCTCTGAGTGCTTATCTTGGGGGAGCTGAGTTTTTCTGAGCCCAAGTCTTATTTTTCCCTATGTGAAGGAGAAAAGCAAGCAGAGATTGGCATGCTATATACACACACACACACACACACACTCACTCCTGGAGGCCCAACACCTCTGGATCGCTCACAGTGCTATTGCACCCTCCCCGGTGACTGGAAAACACTGATAGATATGGAAAGGGAGAAGAAAAACATGACAGATGGGAAGAAAATGATGGAAATAAGTGGAGGGAGAGAGATTTAAAGAGAGAGTGAGTGAGGCGAGACAAAGATGGAAAGGTGGGGTGTAAGAACATAAGCCACAGCTGGGACACATTGCCTCTCTGCAGAAGAGGAGGGTGCTGCCATTGCCGCATCATGCAGACAGTGTGCTGGGCCCAGAGGTGACGGCGAGCAGCTGACTGTAAGGGGCAGTAGACTCAGGCCCCAATGGTGAACACACACACATACACACACACATACACTCCCCCACAGGGATGTCCCATTTTTTGTCACTATAGTACTTTAATTACTCATCTTCTACTGATTACTCATTCTTAAACTGCAAAATTTGTTTTCTGGGGACGTTCCAAAAACTTTTTTGAAAAAAAATGCTCAAAATGTATCCCCAGAAAGATGTGATATAAAAAATATGGCAACATACTCTTGGTGATGAGGTGGGACTTTCCCAAGCATCAGGACACACCAAACCGCAGCCGTACTCCACCTTACGGCACAGCAGAGCGGTAGAGTGCCACAGTGTGTTCTTCTCTGCTCACAGGAATCCAGGCCAGGAGGCTGCCTCCAGCCACTGTTAGCGCTCAGGCAGCATTGGAATTTCGGCCTTAAAATGGTAAAGTCTTTGAGCCATTCATCCCTGTCTCCGCTGCATCACTGGTCCCGACCGTTGGTGCTGTCATTCACATTTCCTTTGTACTGCCCTCCCCCCGTCCACTTCCCCTAATGTCCACCTCATACCTCTGTAGACTAAAAAGCCATAAATCTGATCTTGCAGCTAGATATCCTGCTAAGAATAGCATATACCCCATGATCCAATTCAAGAAAACTGCATTCCTGAGTAAAAATAGGTCCAGTGACATTACTCAGGGAAATTTCTTTAATGCGGTCTGAATTAAAAACAGAGTGGATGTTTCTGCACTGTGGAGAAATTGCCCAGAATTACGGAGAGAAAAAAATTAACCACATAAGGGGGAATTTCATGTAATTTTCTGGGATCTGTTCAGGGTCACAATGGGAAGTAGCCACCAGCGATGAAGCTGAGCTTCTGACCTACTACTGGGTCCTTTTTATTGCGGTCCAGTTCCTGACCTGCATTTCTGAGCTGGCCCGTGTCAAATCTATGGAGAATGTGGCAGTGAGGGTCAGTGCGGTAATCCCCAATGCAGTGGACGCATCCAGTGGCTGTATCACTGCACGGTTTTGGGATCTCAGGAGACAGGTGGCTTTTTGTTTGATCCTCAAACATCCCCAGAGGGATCTTGCTGTAGAATCTCTATAAGAGGCCATCTACCCACACTGCTTCAGGAAAACACCCAGCTCAACACGCTAAATGCTGAAATGCCACTGCAAATGTTTAATAAAAGGCACTTGTTAAACAAATAATGGGAATTATTAATAATAATGGTATTGGTGTTCAGACTCTTTAAAGTATGGAGGGTGAATGCCAATTCTTCCCTGTCTGCAGGCATTTTCATTGCCTTCCAGTTATTTAATGTGATGTTCAGTTTCACATAAGGATTTTTAAAAATTAAAGGCTATATACATCATGCGTCTGACGACTACCATCACCTGGTTACAGTCTCGATCACCCTTCATAGTCCTGGTTCCATGCATAGACAGCATTGTCTCTGTAACTAACATTGGAGCTCACTGTAAATTGGGGTAATTACGATACATCGATGACTAAGCTAAAATCTGGCACCAGCTGGTATCAATGGTTGAACTTTAGAGGTGTTGAGTAGCGGGGAATTCATGAGAGATAGCTGGGGTCTGTTAATAGCCAGAGGCTGCAATAATATCACAGTACTGCCAGGTCAGCTCCAGGTGTCACTTGGAGGCATGGCTGCACCTGGCTGGGCCCCTGAAAGATGCTATCGAATGGGTCCTCCCCTTCTCCAATCCAAAACCACTATTATCCACACCACTATTATCCAGAAACAGGAAGTCGGCAATCTAGGGTTAAAGACCAGGGAGGAACGGCTGGTGGCCAGTCTGGGCACTTGGCTGTCTGCTGTTTTCATTCCCAGTGCACTGTGGGTAAGTTCAGGCCAGCCTTTGATGTCTTTGTATGGGATCAAAGGGAGGGACACCATGGAAACTTCACTCTCTGAAGATTCTGGGTTATCTTTCAGAAGCTCATGCCGCTCTACACTGTAACTTGGAAATGAACCGCAGGTGGATCAGCTGTTATTCAAAACAATAAGATAATACAGATTTTTTTTTTTTGGGTGGGGTAGCGGTGAAGGTTGTGTACAGATTGTGAGGATTCTACAGAGCCTGTGGGGAATCCAGTACACAGAAGAAGGTATAGAAAGCTGATGGAGGGTTTGTTTTAGGAGGAAACTGCTTTGTTATCTGGAATAAGGTAATAAGCTGGATAGTCAGGACAATTTTTCAATTTGAGGAATCTGGTCCTTCAAACGCATGGAAATCGCATGGAAGTCAGACCATTAAAAGCTGGAAGAGCTTTGATGTTCCAGACAAGTGAGCTGACAACTTGGCATGGTGTGCTGATGTTAGTGGGCTGTGTGCTATTCAACAGTGGGGTAGGGGACAAATGGAGGGACCCCTCAGAGTTTGTGGAAGTCTATTACAAATAGGGAGCCGGGTCATCACCATGGCAACTGGGTCCCAATGCATTCATGAATCATTCAGTCAGGGAGCCCAAGTAACCCGATAATGTACCTGGTTATGGCTCTGAGATACCAACTCAAATGGGGCCTCAAGACCAATTCATACAGACCTGCTCACTTAATTAATTAACTTAATTAAATAACTTGATGAGGTATTGATTAGCCAAACATGGTGTCCTATTGGTTGAGTCCAAAAGACATTGGTGCATTGAATGGTTACTGCAGATGCTGGGGTGATTATAGGAGATGTTTTGAAATGGCTAAGTGGATGCACATTGATAAACATAAAATCAGTTTTACACCAACATAATTCAAATATAATTTTCTTGGACTGTCTAAGACTTTTGCACTGTGTTGTAGAATAGAAACCAAAAGTGGTTTCTCTGAAAGCAGATTCATAAACACATACACATATAAACACATTCAAATCCACAATACAAACAGAGCACCTTGGAGAGTTTAGAAAAATAAACTACTGGACCATTAAATTTATTTTTAATTATGTGTGGTTTGCACATCCATATGTTAACAAACCCACATCCCATCATTTCCTTGAAGCACTATGTACCCAGAGCTTTTGTTGAAATGCACCATGGGAAATTATTTTTGGCTCTCAGCCATCAGGATGCACAGCATCGTTCCCTGTTACATTGGAGGGCGGGGCTGTGAAAAGTCCTGAAAACATGCGGTAAGCCCCCAGTGACCCAATGAGCTAACAGCGCAAAGGTAAGACTATGCTGTCAATGCCAACAGAGGATACCTACAGTACTGTGAAAAACAGCCTCAACCTCATGATTTTCTGTAAAAATATGCAGTCTGTTGGGTTAGTGTCTACTCATGTGACAGTCCATGCTCAAGATTAAGTATCCTTCAATAGCAAAATTTTTACCTCTGGCTAAGAAATGTGGCTGAAAAGGTATAGTTTGAATGATGAGGGGTCTTATCAAGTGCATGGATCCAGAAAGTTCTGGTCTCCAGGGAGACGGCTGAACTTCCCCGTGTTTCTCCACAGCTCCAGAGGTCCTGGCCCAGAAGCCCTATAGCAAGGCTGTGGACTGCTGGTCAATCGGCGTCATCGCCTACATCCTGTGAGTAAACCCTCTGAGTATGAGCACTCCCCCTGGTGGCATAACATCATGCTGCTAGAGACACAAAGTTGATCTCCCGCTGTGAGAGGCACCCTCTCAGGATGAATATGGAACAGTCTGCATGTGCTAATTCCCCGTGACACTTCAGTTTTTAACTGCTGTTATTATGGCTTTTAGGGTGCCACGCTGCGGGGGTGTGTGAAAGCAGGAGCCAAGCAGAGTACAGATCCCAGATAAGAGCGGCGCTAATCCTCCTTAGAAGCCTCACCTTTTATCTGGTTCACGGGCCTTATAACGGACCCCTAACTGTGGGAGGGGCTACAAAGGCAGCCCCGCCCACAATCACCAGTAACCATATTCGGGCATGGTTCAGTGTCTCTTTTTTCAACCGTTGTTTAGACCGTTGAGTTCTCTGTATACTTCTTAGACCAATTAGATATTACTATATACTTAGGCATTATTTAGTCCAGCACTTTTGTTTTCTGACAGTTAGAGCTCAGATGGGAAGAATAAGGGCTAGTTGCTGCATTTGGTGAAAAGTTTGTCATGTAGCAGTCGTGCGGTCGGAGGCACCCCGCTCCTTTCTCGTCAGGTGTGGGTGGAGGCGCTGGCTGGAGTTGTGGGGTACGGGGAAGGCTGCCTCACCCCTGCAGAGCCAGGGATGTACACATACACAAACGGCTCCATTGCCGTTTGATTACTCATCAACCAACCCTCCATCACTGACTTTGATCTCTGATGTGCAAATCAGGGGCTGCCTGCTAGTCCCTCTTCACTGCCATCCTTCCTCACCCTGTCTTTGACTCAGAAGCCACACATAGTATGTCTTAGCTTAGCAAATGGTTTTCCCAACCAATAGCTAGAAGCTGCTCCCACTCATATGGGCAGCTTGTAATTCTGACTGTAAGGTAGTAGTGATGCCCCTGCTGCGATTCAGACCTGCAGAGTTTTTCTCTTATAGTCCAGCTCCTCTGTGCTGATAGCTGCTGCTCTTACCAATCTGACTCATCAGTCATTAAGGGTCACTCACATTTTTCAGACCCACAAATCTGCAGATTCAAAGCTAGGTGATAAAGCCCCCCCACACCCACACACACCCACCCCATCTCGCAAAGCTGTCAGCAATTGGAGTTGGCTCTGTGGAAGAATGATCGCAGGAGAGCTGACCTTTCCCAGCATGCAGTGCGGGCGTTCATGTGGGATGCTAGCCCGAGATGTGCCAGCCTCTTGTCACCCACAGTTGGTGCCAAAACAACCCCCCCCCTCCCCACATACACACACACTCAGGCGCAAACACTAGTAGAAAAAAATATATTTTATTGTCCTTTATGATTTAGATTTGAATTCTACTTTTTTCCCCTTTGGAGCAAGGAGGAGGAAAAGAGATAAAATAAGAACTAAGCCATAGGCTGGAGGGGATTTGCTAGGAAACCTGGACGGGCTAAGCCGGGGCTCAAAAGTCACAGGTAACACGGGGGGATGCTGGACAGAAAGTAGAGGCTTTGCAAAGGAAGACCTGCAAAGTTAACACGAGAGCAGAGTTATATTGCCATAACCATGACAACACTGGAAACTCTGCAAGTGTACAAGTGAGGAGGAGATTCAAAGCTATTCTGGGGGATGGGGGTTCTGTGTTTCAAGAAAGCAGCTGTTTGACCATCTGCACTGAGTTGTTAGGATGCCCTTCTCATTTTGAGTTATTTGTTCTTAAGTACAGCTCAACCCTGTTTCACAAGAAAGGCCTCCGAAAGTGGTTCCTCTTATTAATAGAACGGTGGAAAAATGACCCACAGCCCAGGAAACCATTTGCTAGCTAACCTGAGCCTCTCATGTCAGGGGCTTTGATCTGCCATCTTCCCAGGTCCTTGCTAGTTAATTTTCTTTTAATTTTACGCTTCACAGTTTCCACTTCTACATTTTTAAAATGAAATAACGTGGTTCTAATCATACGGACAGAACCTGAAGGGACCCTGTTACAAGCAGGAAAACAATGTTTGGTATTATCTTATGAAATATATTAATATTTATTTATGTAGGAGTGAGGATCAGAGAGCAGGGTCATATGGTATCCCTGGAGTAATTGCCGTTAAGGGCCTTGCTCAAGCATAACATCACTCTGCCAGCCACGGGATTGGAACCAGCAAACTTTCTAGTGCTAACCCGCACAGCCACATTCCACTTTAGACTACGAAAAAGAAAGAAATTGCTGCTTAGCTCTGACAGTGATCTATGTTCTAGTTTATGTGCCTTTTCCATTTTTGTCAGTTTTATTGTCTTCCTTGATGGAAGAAAGCTACATTTCATAAAACAAACAGACATGGCAAAGATGAAAAGTTTGGGCCAGTTAGGTGAAACGCTGAAGAATAAGTGACAGATGTCTGGTTAGCCATATGTCCGTTGTGAGGACAGCTTCGGCAATAGAGCAAGATGATTGCTCCTGTCTCTGCAACTACAACTGTCTTAGTGTCTGTGAGGAATTTGCTAGACTGCCTTCATCTGAAACTAGCAAAACAGTGGCAAGAAGCTTGCTTTCCTTGAGTGATCCTTAAGGAAGACATTATCATTTTACTGCATTTCCCTGAAGATTTAGTTTGATCATTAATAACCGTAGTATATTTGTAACCCCAGGGCAGTAAACTTGTACCTGTAATCTCAGACGCTTCTACAAGCCATAAAAATGTCCATTATGTGGTCCAATTAATGGTCTGCATGGTAAGACACCAGACCCAATTTCACCGGTTTCATTTTCATCCTAGTGTCTCTCCCACACCTCTGACTTGTCTAAATGTGTCCCATTCATGCCATTTAATCTGAATTTGTGTGTTTTGCATACGTAGCCTACAACAGTCCGCCCTGCCTTAAACTTTCCTTCTGGTTTTGTGCAGCTCTGATTGGATAAGAGCATCTAAAAATGGAAGAATGCTATGTGTGCTGTTACTTGGTCATGCACCACCATTTCATCCATCCATCCATTTTGTGAAACCGCTTATCCTGTTCAGGGTCGAGGGGGTCCAGAGCCTATCCCGGAGGCTACAGGCACAAGGCAGGGAACAACCCAGGATGGGGCACCAATCCATCGCAGGCACCATGAAAATCTTTCTGACAGAGATACTAATACATGTTCGAGCTCAGTGGGCCAAACTACCCAACAGAGATGTCACATGCAAGAGTAGCCTATCTTTTATATGAAAGGGTGTGAGGCTCCACAGTCCAGCAAGCAATATAGTATTTTTGTTTTGCTTTTGGTGACATTATTTCCTGTCTTGCAGGTTGTGTGGCTATCCTCCGTTTTACGATGAGAACGACTCAAAGCTCTTTGAGCAGATACTTAAGGCGGATTATGAATTTGATGCACCCTACTGGGATGATATCTCAGATTCCGGTAAGTAAATCTAACTGTGTACCTTATTAATAATCAATGTGCAATTGTTAGAATATTCATGAAATGTGTATTTATTTGGAAGAGTATTAGTGGTTGCTTCTGTGTCAGGTTAGGTCAGGTTTGGAAGCATGCACTGATACAGCACATTGCTGCACCCACCACACAACGATACACCACGGTCCCATGCTCTAGAAATGGCCGTCTATCTGCCGCAGCCAGGTATTACATAGGTGTTCCCTTTGCCTAGTCCAGCCACTTGGGTCCTCAGCAATGAGGATCCTGCAAGCCGGATCACCCTCAGGGAATCATGCCACATGACTGTAGTGCCATAACTCACACTTCATCACAATCAGATAATATGCCTCATTCAGGAGTCCTTGAGCAACCGCTTGTGTGACACAAAGTCAAAACCAGCAGTACCCATGGATTCTCTGAAGAGATACAGTACCAAAGGTGTCCAGTCTTCATCTCAATGAGGCGAGCAAGTGATCATGGATCCTGTTGAGGATGAGCACTAACAACAGTCTTATCCCCCTGTAGCGGTCGCAATCCAGGTGATCACCCTTCCCTTTACAGAAAGGGACAAGGAGTCCAATTTCCTTGTCAATTGGGATGACACCTATCTCCCAAATGGAAGCAAAGATCACTTGCAATGCCAGGAGGACAGCCTTCCCACTAGCCTGGAGAAGTTCACCCCGGATACCACAGGTCCCTGCAGCCTTCCCTAGCCCCAGCTGGTTCACCACCTGTGCAATTGTGCAATCTCAATGAGACTGGGTGGTTCACAGCAAATCGGAGGACCAGCCTCAAAAACTGTGGAACCACAGATGTCCATTGTCCTAGCCAGAGAATCAGCTTAGTCGGCTGCTCAAAGTAGCCAGCCCAGTGGGTCGCAACTGCAGTGTCATCCATAAGGACCATTCCATCACCCACCCTGACTGCAACTCTCTGAGGAACAGATTTGGATGTGCATAATGCTTCGATTCCTCTGTAAGGAGGACATGGGTCACTAGGCTATAGATGGTGTATCACTTGCTCTCAGATTCCTTGAATAAATGCCTCCTTATCCGCCCTCAGAGCCCTCACAGCCGTCCTTCTCAGTTCCTGGTACAGACCGGAGTTGCCATCAAGCCGTGTTCTGTGACTCCTCTTGATAATATACAGGGTGCCATGCAACATGTAACACCTTCTTCTGGGAACACCGGCAAAACCAATAAAACCCTCAGCAACCTTTAGGTCCTGTCACAAAAAGTTTCCGACATCACATTAGAATCAGCAGTCGCATACAAGTCTGCAAGTTCTCACACAAACATCAAGTCATTAGAATCAGCCTGATCTTGAAGTCTGGTCAGGTCCCGCCTCATTTTCCTAGTATGTGGCAATCCACTGGACTTCAGCTAAATCTTCAGAATAGCAACAACAAGTCTCTGGTCACAAGGATCTGACTGATCTCCTTCACCGCACCATCAGTACTGGAGTACCAAGTCCAATGATGCGACTCAGGGCACTAGAACCAGAATCTAGCGTTCGCAGACCCTGACCTTTTGCAAAGATAAGGAACATAGAGCCACTTTCACCACAGTCTCCAAACGTGTGGGGACTGACACAGTCCTCATAGCCAGTCCTATTAACACCCAGAGAGTGCCTTAATGTGAGTCTCATGATGCACTCATTAAAAGGAGTGATATCGGACACCATTGGGAGGAGCCAATCTGCCACAGCAACAGCTACTCCCTGAGTATGACAGCCATCAGAGTGACCAGACTAATAATAGGTATCTACCTACAGAGATCTGGCCACTCCTCGGTCTGCATACCTCAGGAAGTGCCGCCACTGAAATGCAGAGTTTACGAAGCTCCTGCAAAAGCAAAAGAAAATGGTTATCATGCTGGAGAGACAAGACAGTTTTGACTATGATTTTGTTAAACTATGATTTTATTAAATTATTTAGTTCATTCTAGGCAGCATAGAGTACAAGGCTGGGGTACACCCTGTATGGGATGTCAGTCCAATGGGACACACACATAATTTAGAGGTGCCAGTTAGCCTACTGTAACTGCATGTCTGCTGCCTCCATATTGGAAATTAGAGTCCCTGAAGGAAATCTGCTCGACCTAATATATAGCACATTGTAAAACAGTTCAAAACAAGCTTTAAAAAGACCATCTGTTTATCAAAACACTTAAACTCCAAAGTAAAACATGCTTTGTGAAATAAATACTAAAAAGGTTTTGTTACATTTACAGTGAATTTCAGCTGAGACAGGCCAACTGGCTGGAACTATTAGCTTTAGCAAATGCTTGTCGTGAGACCCACATGCCCAAAATAACACCCGCATTTGGTACAGATGTACACATGCATGGACCACTGACTTTTGGGCTGGCTCCCAGATGTGGCCCCTGGCCTGTATGTAGCCAGTATGGTGCTCACACCTGCTCACGGATTCAGTAGATGAGAGCGGAGAGGTCACCATGGCAGTCGAACTCCTCTCTCTGGAGACCAAACTGGTGCCAGCAATCTACAGGCCTGTTCTAATAAACGAGCCACAGAAAACGTCCCAGAGTTTACTGAAAGACAGCTGACTAATCAAGCTGGTATTCCAGTGTATGGGCAAACACTCCCCAAAGGCTCAGCAGAGCTCTCCCCATGTGTTTGTGTTCAGCAAAGCGTCAGTATCCAGACCATGAAAGGTGTTTGCTCTTTGAGTGGAAGGTATGCCATTCTAGTATTAAAGTACCAGCATAACATGTACAGAGAAACAGCATCTTATGTTTGTGGAAATGTTAAAGATGGTAACGAGCATGCTTGTGTTTGTGTTCGACAGCGAAGGACTTCATTAGCAGTCTGATGGAGAAGGACCCCGAAAAGAGGTTCACCTGTGAGCAGGCCCTGCGGCACCCCTGGTAAGACAGTAGCCAGCATGTGGTACTAATGCTTGTAGCGAGTTTCTGAGCAAGCTAACATCACTAGCATGCTAACAAAGTACTTTTAGCATACTGTGGTTCGTGTACAGAGAAAGCATAAACATTTTGGGGAAGAGTTAGCATGTTAGGCCCTTGTAGGCCTATACATCTATTACTGAAAGCAGCACAGGTGCTTCTTCAGGGCATTGTGCTATTGAATGCCCTCTAGTGTAACACCCCGCTCCACCTCTCACCCGGCTGAAAAAAACCTCGTAATGAATGCTTCCTGACTAGTGGCATCCAGCCTTAATGGCACATCCTGAATCTTGCGGGGCTAATCACCAATTAGTAGATTCCCCCACTAGAGTAGGGGCTGGTAATGACTAATGAGTCTATGCAAGGGGAGCACAGTGGAGCTAGGAGACATGGGAGAGGTTGAGGAGCAGTCTGGGAGTAACGTAGCAATGTGTTTATATCCAGGGAGAAGGCTGCAGTATTTGGTGGGGGGGTGGCGGTGGTTGCACAATAGCATAGACTATGAAACTGTCAGGGACAGAATCAGATTACCGTACTGAAGGCCTGTCTCTAAACAACCAGGCCACCTACTTATTCATTCCTCACAAATAAGCTGACACTACCCTGCTAAGGTTAACTGAAGGTTGGCACAGAGTAGATGTAAAAAAAGCACAGCTAACAGAGTACAGCCAAAAGAGTATAGTTAATAGAGTCTTTTAACTAGAGCAAAGCTAACACAACAGAATCAACAGAGAACTGCTAGCAACACAAAATCAATATACAGCATGCTGGGGGGGGGGGGGGGTATATGTGTTGGTGTTTCATGGAGATGTATTCATACACTTACCTAAGCATGACCTCACTCAACCCCACTTTGTGCCATGACAAGGAGAAAGGAGTGTTATTGTGTCACAGAGAAGTACCTAATTATAGCCAACATGCACAAATATCACAAAATGCTTTATTACAAATGAGTGTACAGGTAAAACATGCACTGCAAAATCCAAATATTTCACTTGTGACTATATAAAATGAGCCGCACTTTTAAGTTCTCTTATTTTCTGTATGACAAGATTAATCCACATTACATAATTAGCAGAAATACCATTGATCCAATATGGCTACAGACAGTTCAAGGACATTTTATTTACCCTGCTCTGGACAAAGTTAAAAAAAACACATTTAATGAAATTATATGTTTTTATTCGATAGAGATCATGTTTATGATGTGACTGAAATCTATTGGCCTTTTGTGGGAGCTAAATTAGAACAGCTGTAGGACAAAAGTATGGTTAATGAAGCAGTACCCATACAGAAAAATACATTATAGTTCTTATATGTGTACTACTTTGCATACATGATTATGGGGTTTGCTGTTGAAAATAATTCTTAAATGTTTTGTGATTATGTTGCCAAAACCTTGATGTCTGGTGGCCAATGTGCTTTTTCAGGATTGCCGGGGACACCGCCCTTTGCAAAAACATCCATGAATCTGTCAGTCGGCAGATGAGGAAAAATTTTGCTAAGAGTAAATGGCGGGTGAGTAGGTGACACCAAGACTTGACAGGCGTTTTAACTCTGACTGAAGTATTGAGACTAACAGAGGCACTGAAACTCCCATAGGAACACTGAGACTGAGAGAGACACTGTAACTCTGATAGGAACACTGAGACCGACAGAGGCTAGTGATGCATCAATATGGAAATTTTGATTGATCTGATAACTTCCACTCGTCATTTGGGGGGGAGATTAGCAGAATGACATCACATTGTTTTCTTTCTTTGGAAAATGAAAGACTGACCCGCGGGCCAGATTTAACAATGAATTAGACACATGTAGCAGGTTGGCAGTTTGAGACATCTTATAAGCAGCGAATGAGACGAGGAAATCCCCCGGTCTCCACTAGGGCAAATGGCTCATCATCCAATACAAACACGTGCGTAATTTTAGTAGGTAGTAGTTATGTCTCTAGCTGTGCTGCTGTTAACTTTGAATACTGATAAAGTTTAAATATCAGCAGGTAATATCAGCTAAGATGACACATCCGGCTAATGCCGATATCTTGATTTTTAACAAATATCAGTCGATACTCAAATGTTAATTGTTAATATATGCCAATATACTGTATCATGCAACTCTGACATAGACACAGAAACTGTCAGAGTCACTGACTATGACTGAAGTGCTGATACTGACAGAAGCCGTGAGACTTGAGAGAAGTGCAGAAACTCTAATAGGAACACTGACTCAGACAGAAGCACCACATTGAGATTGACAGATACACTGAAACATTGACAGTATCACAGAGACTTTCACTGAGACACTGAGACTATAGTATTGCTACATAATTAAAATTGAGGCCATGGGACACCAGCTTCTCAATTACCTGCCGATACTGGCTGATTTATGTGTTATATAAACTCATGTTGCTGCAGCATTGGTTAACCTGTATAGTTTTAACCCCAGAATGACACAAATGTCCCCCCATCCCATATCCCCAGCAAGCCTTCAATGCCACGGCAGTGGTTCGTCACATGAGGCGGCTGCAGCTGAGCAGCAGTATCGACAGTTCACACCAGGGCAGTCATGGGGCGGCCCGCAGCCAGGCCTCCAGTGCTGCCCACGTCAAGAGCCAGTCCACAGACTCTAGCACCCCAACCCGCAAGGAATGTGAGTGTGTCAAACATGCTAAGCATACTAACCTACAGACTGGCACACAGCTGCTCTTCTTGCAGAGCAACCAGCCTGTACGCTAAAATAATCCATTCATTCATACAATACAAATTATCCTTAACTCTAACATGAACCAATCCTTCACACAATACAAATTAGCCTTCATGCTAACACAAACCAGTCCTTTACGCAACATAAATTAGCCTTCACACTAATACCAACCAGTCTTTCTCACAATACAAATTAGCCTTCATGCTAACACGTGTCTATCCTCACAATACAAATTAGCCTTTATGCTAACACAAACAGTCCTTCAGATAACACAAATTAGCCTGAATGCTATCATAAACCAATCATTCACACAACACAAATTAACCTTTATGCTAACACAAACCAGTTCTACACACAACACAAATCAGCTGGTTCACCCTAAGATCCTACCACTGTTCCCTCAAGCTAACAGGTCTGGTCTGTTTTAGCTTTACTGAGTCCTTTGTGCCAGTTCTGAGTGGTTACCATTCCCAGGAAACTTGCGTGGGGCAGGTCTCAGCCCTGGCTCCCCTCACTCCTCATGGCTTGCAGCAAGATATCTAAGATTGTACAACAATGATCTAATAGCGTAATGCAAACCCCCATCTCTGGCACCATCCTACTGTCAGTAATTAATGCATCACTGGAATGAAAAGCACATTATTTAATGGAAAATTCCAGCAGTTTGATGCCTGGCAGGATGTGACTGTGCTGCCTTTGTAGGTGCCAGACCTCCTCCTCTCCCAGCTCCTAATCCTGCTGTCCTCCTTTAAGGGAGCCTGAGTATCCAGCCTGCTTTGCGAGGTGGATGCCAAAGTGTAATAGTCATGCCAGTCACTGGCCAACCTGTTCAATCCCATTTGTAACATAATCTTGTCATGCTAACCCTCTGAGGGCCATGGTCAGGTGACCGTGAAAGGCCGGCTGCTCAAAGTCATGTGTTCAGGTGCTGCTTTTCAGTTCTTCTCAGCATGTCCCATTTAACCTCACTTATCTCTTTTCCACTAGTGCTGTTCCTGTGCTGTCATTTGACTACATATGTCAACGTCACAAACATACTCAGGAGAGCAAGCACCAGTTTTCGATTGTGTGTAATCGCAGTTTTGAGGCTGGCTACCAACAATAAATATAGAACATTGGGACACTTTTAGACTTTTTCTGTACTGCACCTCTTTGTTTTTTGTCTCGATAGTTTTAGTTTTAAATTTTGGTAGCAATTTGCTCCGTACTATGAATTTCTCCGGCTCTATTTTAATTTCTGCTGTATTCAGCAAACACTCAAGCAAATCAAACAAAGAAAGCATCAAACCCTGGGAATAATAAATGCTACTCTGCTGAACTTTATAGTGCATTGTACTCCCTCCCCACATGATGACATCACGGGTTTGCAATTTCAGAGGCAATTCTCTGGGGTCATGCCAGGGCGGGTTTATCGGGCACGGGACCAGTTGTCGAGTCTTCTCCCCCCCCCCCCCCCAGCATTGTGTCACCCTGTCGCCCTCCCAGCGTAGTGTCCCCTTCTTGCCTCCCCAGAATCCTGGCTCCCTCTCACCTCCCCAGTGTTATTTCTCTCTGTCACCCCCCCAGCATCATATTTCCCTCCTGAGTGTCAGGCCTCCTTGTTGCCTCCCCCGAGTATCGCATCTCCATGTGGCCCCCCACTGCAGTGTTGCATCAATCTCTCCTCCCTCCAGCATTGTGATTCCCTGTCACCCCTGCCTCAGCGTCCCCAGCATCGTGCCTCCCTGTCACTCCCCCGGTGTCACTTGTCACTTAAGAGTATTGCTGGTTTGTCTGCAGGTACGCCAGCCTCTCCCACACCCTGCAGCCTGGCTTCGGCAGCCTCCTCTCCCTCGGTGGGCCTCACACCCGGCGGAGCAGATCAGAGCCGATCCCGTCCCTCCACCGTCACTGTCGTCAACACAGGGACCAAGTGACGCCAGGTCCCGCGAGGAACGAGCTGGGAGGCCACAGCACTGTGAGGCAGGGGCGCCCATTACGCCCCGTCAGCCTCTGTGTCCCCCTGCCCTGGATGTCTGCCTGCTCAGGTAGACCCCCCAGCTCGCCCCTCGCCCTGCTCCTCTTCCTGGCCTGGGAAGACTTGGATGAGCAGAGGACCTTTAAAATGCCATATTTTCTACCGTCTCACCACCTCCGACACGGAGCCACAGCATCGCCCCCCCCCCCCACCACCTTGCTCCCGGCCCAAAGGTCAGCCCTGAGGTCAATCCTAACGTCACCACGTGACTCCCACATAACGCAGCTTGACTTGTAAATCAGACATGTTTAATGCTCATGGGTCAGTCTTTTCACGTTGCATAGGATTGGATCAGGATCTTCATGCAAATATAAGTCCTCATGTTTCTGTAGAAGCTTCTTGGGCCCCAGAAGGTCAGGTAGCTCTCATCTGAGTGGATGTCCATCCTGGAGATCATGGTGTTGAGCAGAATCATTTTTTAGACGTGTTTTGACCTCATAACCATGTAACCACAGTTTCCCTCTATTGACTTTTTTTCTTTTGTTTTTCTTGTTCTGGACTGGATGATCAACAGGGCTTTTATTTCCTGAACCGCATTTTCTTTCCCTTTGTCTGTTTTTTTATTTGGAGGACTTCTCCCTTCCTCAGTTCCTGCCATCGCTCTGTCGATTTCTCAGCAGGGTCCGACGCTGCATCGGCCCGTCATTGAGCTCCGTCTGCCTGTCGGCGGTAGAGATTGTAAACAGTTTTAAAAATCCCACAATGGGGTCATAGCATTGTACAATTTCTTTGTTAATGGAAACATTTAATATGTTTCTTTATTTTCTTACTTTATAATACTTTTTCTAAAGTCATTCTATATGAGGTATGTATTCAGTGTATAAAACGTTTATCGCTGTGTGCTGGTATGTTTCAGGAATCAGCTTCTGAATTGTGGAGTTGTGTACAGAAAAACAAACAAAAAAACCCGTTTGAAATGGCCATGATCAGATTTCTTCATTAGCATTACCAGTAGGTGGGCTTACGAAAGGCAGAGCTGTTATTATTGGCTCTGGTGGCGTGATGTCAGAGTGTGAAGTATCGCTGACACACCCAGTTTAGAGTTCTCAGGGAATTCCACAACTGCAAACGCACGTGGGCTATACAGTGTAGGTCTGTGTGAACCCGAGACGTATAGGGCGTCTGGGAAACGGCCCGCTGCGTGGAAGCGGGAAGCTTTTCAGTATGTTTCCAACTCTTAAACTGTCAGAGTGCATTGTGTTTCTTTACATTTTTGGTAACGTGGTGAAGAATATACGAAGTGAATAAAATTACAATATGGTGTATTCTATAGGTGCCATAAGCACTGCTGGTTATAGTATCTCGTTGTTTTTTTGTTTGTTTGTTTATTCGTTTTTGGAATGATAAATGCCATACCTTGTGGAGATTGCTAATCCTCCATTTCCCAGTGTGTTATTTTAGCAGAAGGGGGTGGACTTCAGCGTGTAATAACGCAAGTTTTTTTGCACCTCTACCACAATGCGGCTGTTGGTTTTCTTGCCTATGAGCTCTTCCCATTACAGAAGGCCCAGAATTCCTTGCACAGCCTGGGGCAGGGCTTGGGTTGGGGAACTGTTGGGGTGAGGGCGGAGTTGTTTGGGTCAAGCCTGGGAGAGGGAGGTGGCTTTGCGTCCCAGAAGTCATTAGAAGTGGCGGACAGCAGCTCGGAGATGGAACTTCATCCCCGTGACCAGGTGGCCTTTGTGGAAACCCGGTCTGCTCCAGGCCATGTTACTTTCTTTCTTCTTGTGACTCATCCACGACCGTGTTGTCAGGGTTAGTGTCCCCTCCCCCCACGTGCTCCCAAAACACCCTCCTCCCTTTTATTAAGTCACGTTCCCATTTGCCACATCTGTACCGTTGGGTATGGCTTCTGTCCGTTCTGTGTTTGTATTCGCTGCTCTTATGTCCGTGTCCCCATGATTCAGGGCTTTGACTCACTGAGCCTGGATCTTTAATAGGCCGGAGCCAAAGGTTCGGCCTGCCCTCTTCATGCAGTGTAGCTCTGTCACATGGCAGTGAATGTGCAGAAATCCTACTCATTTTCATAATTTTGTTGTATTTTTCCATGTGTCGTTAATAGAACTCATCTGGCTATAGATTTATTTTGATTCTCAGGCATCGTTTAGCTACAGTTTTTTCTTTGTTAAGGGAAATGTGATGGCATCCTAATGCTGCCATCAAAGCTAGTGTTCAGTTACTGCTTCACACTGAAATTAGTATTCCTGCTCAGACACAAAATGAATTGTTACCATAGCAGGATTAGTCCAGACACTAGTTAAAGTAAACGGTTTGGATTTAACACAAATATTATAACAGATCTCTGCAGTCAATACTAACATACTGGGATGGGGTGTGGGGTGGATTTGGGGTCCAACTGGAATTCGAAGATGCTTCTGTTTCTAGTGAAATGGATGTGTGGCTGTACTTGGAAATTCCGGAGAAGGACATATGGTGCTGGTCCGAACACCATCCGGACAGATGTGTGTTCAGGGTCCCATTCAGTGGCTTGCTGGAGGCAGTGTGCAATGCAGATTGCTGAGGGACTCAGCAGTGCCCTCCAGGGGGTGCTCTGGTCTAGTGTGACTGGAACGCCAGTGTGACAGAACTTCGGAATGTGGCTCTCCCTGTCGCATACACACGTGTGCCTCTCAGGTGCCGCTTTCCTCTGTCCATGATTGTGACTATACATCTTACCCCCATTGCCACTCACACCATCTCAGAAACATGCTTGCATAAGATAAATCATACTCTGGATGATGTTCTACCAATTAGATAGCTGATGGGATTTTTCTTTTTAGATCCAAAAGATTAGGTAATTTTTTTTTTTTAAGCAAATTTTTATCAAACATATCTATGCTACATGTTCCGCTTCCTGAGGCCAGTCCGTGGATGTCAGTCCATGAGCACCTGAAGTTGGCTCCTTTGTGACATCACAATAGCCACTGGGAGGCCGTGGGTGTCACGCTTGTCAGGAGAGCAGCATGGCCACCTTCATGATGCATTCAGATGCTTCAATAAAATTCTCAATTAGATTATTTTGACACCAGGCCAGGTACCCAATTCTCACAAACCATAACCGGTAGCCAAAGATAAGTAGAACAGAGTATTAGAGAATAGCCGGCAAGCACTGACCGGCCAATCACTCTTGGCAGAGTGGTTTCAATTGTTTCATGCTAAGGGCTAATGTAAAACAACCAATAAGGATATTTGTAATGAAGTGCCTCCAGTTTGTGGGGGAGCACTCAAAGTCGCGCTGTCTCCGCAGAGCAGAATTTGACTGCAGTCTGACCACACAAGGGTGAATGTCTGCCAGAGCTCCCCCTGCAAGTAGTACGAGACGCCACACGCTTGATATCCTACATTCCTGACCAGGACACTGTTGTATTGGTGTTGTCTTTCATCCTGCTTCAGTCACTGATTTCCCACCTTTATTGGGTCTGTATTTTTTTTGCCCCAAGACCCTCAAGCCGTGATGTGTCCCACCCCTCCATATCTTTGACGTATTGCTTATATCCATGTCACGTGTGGTCAATGCGAGTCTGTGTGTGGCATGAGCGTGTAGTGTGTTTTTAGCAAGGCGTGTGCAGGATGCTATGCCTCCAGGGGGCGCTGCATCATTCAAGCCACCTGTGTCACCCTCTGCCATCAGGTGGTCTATTTTACACCCAGTCTTGCTCCTGGCATCTTTTCGGGACGCTTGCACTCTAGCTTTCCCGTGTCAGTTTTTGCTTTAACAACAGGGAGTGTCTATTGGACAGCTCCAGCTGTCGTCCTCCCCAACTGAACCCCCTCTGCTTTTTTCCAGCTGATGCAAAACCACGCAATGGATATCCCGTCCTAGATTGTGATGCGCTTACAGTCAGTCAGGGCCGATCGGTACTTTAAGGACAGAAAATCAGTGACGATTGCAGGACCTCAGCTGACCTGTCACATAGTTTTAAAAATGTAATTTCCAGAATGCCGAAGCAAGGCCTTTGGTGTGCCACACCACGCATCATAAAACAAAGTAATATGTTTGACTTTTACAACCAAATAACCAAGGCTTTCTCCACCTCTAGCTTAGTGCTGTGACTGACTGGTCCAGATGTGACATGCTTTAAACTAAAGTTATTTTTAATTGATATGTGGTCTTCAAGCACCAAACCTGTTAAAAGTTAACTTTAGTATAGCAAGCACTCATAAAACGGTATTAATAAAGCAAGTCTATAAGCGTCCGATGTGCTTTACAGGAGGTTTTTATGAAATGCACGCATGTTTAACGCTCTTTAAGACTCGGCTCCACCAGTGTCTGCGTAACTATTATACCCTACTATAATATCTATATGTATTAAATAAAACACACTGTTATGAAAATCCAGGTCTTGTGATTGTAACATTTCCATAAAGGTGTTTTCCAAAGCCCGATGAAATGTGAAATATTTACTCTTTGCATGTTATGAAGATGATCCATTATTTTCGGAAGTGGCTGCCTGTTGTGGCTCTACTGTGATGTGACAGTTTGCTTATGGGATGTGTACAGCAAATGCCTTTGACAATCATGTACACATATCAGAGTTTACATCACAGTGAACGCAGAAGTGAGAGTGATTGGTTTTTTTGTTCCTTCAATAAATTTTGAATGATCATTATGCTACAGTTCAATGTCTGCTGCCTTCTTTGTACTGCAACCCCCCCCCCCAGCCCTTCACATAGCCCACCTAGTACTGATACTAACCTTCATTCAACATGTACTAATCCACAGTAACATCTACATCGATCTATACTAACTCAAATACTGTTCTGCTTTCTCACCATAGTACTAATCCCTCAAGTACCCTGTGCACTGACCCTAATACTAATCGCTATGATATCATTTGCTCTGAAATCCATTCTCCAATACAGTCCCTGGTTATAGAATCCCTGAAGGGCAAAACACACCAGCAAATATGAAGACACACCAAAAAATACAAAAATGCACCAGAAAATATGAAAATACTACAACACTAGCAGCACTGAAAATGGGAAGGCTATGTACTTCCTGATAATGTCAGTTGGCTAACAGATTAAACTAGTCAATCCAAATGTACAGCTTTAGGTACCTGGAGGTGCCATTTTGGTGCCTTTGTTAGTCTTACTAATGGAGCACTCTGCGTATGTGAATCAGCTACCACCAGATGTAAGCAAAAGACACAAAGAGAAAACAGATGTAATAAGATGTGATCATACACATTGAAAATGAAAGACTTTGATGGACGTGAGCCGCCTTCTGTAAGTTCTGAGGATATCATGAATTATATGGTTTTTCAAACATCACGGGTGGCTCTGAAGCATCTGAAATATTTTGTATTCACAGGTAAGTGCAAGTATAAATCTCTCACTTACTCATCATTTATTATACTTCCATTCATCCATCTAATTTCTATAACTGCTTGTCCTGTTCAGGGTTACAGGGGGTCTGGAGCCTATCCCAAAGGCTATGGGTGCAAGGCAGGAAACAACCCAGGATGGGGCACCAACCCTTTGCAGTGTGCACACACACACCTTTCACTCACACATGCACACCTATGGGCAAATTGGCAACTTCAATTAACCCCAGCGTTTTTTTGGACTGTGAGGCAAACCTGAGTACCCAGAAGAAATCCCACAATGACACGGGGAGAACATGCAAACTCCACACACATGGAACACCAGTAGACACTTAAACCTAGTTTGCAGAGGTGTGAGGCAACAGTGCTAACCACTGAACAACCTTGCTGTTAGCACTTATTGTTATATATTAACATTATCTTAATTTCATTGTGTAATGGTAATGTTAAGCCATTACTTTGTTCTGGGCTGTAATGTTAATGTTATAATGCTATTACTGATTTTGTTGTCATTAGGTCAAATCTGTGGCCTGCACTGCAAAGCGGGGTTACTGGCTTATTGGGGTAAGTTGTCGGATTTAAGGTATCACAGTTTAAATGCACTTCATATTCGTTTGCTTACATTTTGCCCAGACTACCTTAAATACGAAAAGTTACCCCGATAAGCCAGTAACCCCGCTTCGTAGTACAGGCCACAGGCCCCTGGTCTGATCGCACATAAGTGATTATTTTATGGGTAAATTGCAGATAGATTTATTTGTTTCAAGATCTATTTATTTGCTGTTGTGTTGTTATAATTACTCCCAGAGAACCCACAACAACCTGTTTTCTCTGCCAAGAAAGATGGAGAAGTTCACACACCTGGGTATATTGTTTACATATTTGTTTGCAGTTTTATCAATGGTTTTTGCACTTTGACCTAACTTAAATATATTCAGCATGCATAAGTTTATTGCATATATATTGTTGCACTTCCCATATTGCAGTCTCTTCTCTTTTTGCACCGCTGTTTATGTTGTGTTTTGTCCTATTGTCCACGCGCAACTGTTCTGTTCCCTGTAACTGTGACATACAAATTTCACTGTTTCACTGAGTTCTATGATGCATGTGAATAAAGTAATCGTGATTTAAGTGATATTTCTCATTGACCCCTATTTAAAGGCACAATATGAAACAAACCACTTGGCACCATGAATGAAACAGTCATTATTTGTTTTGTTAGTACTATTTTTCAAGTTCCAGAAAATTCTCACTCAAATGGAACAACAAACTGACAGATTTAAGGCACCACCTATTCTCACTATTCTATCTACTTGAGCCTCTTTGTCTTCTTTTGTATTTAACATTTCCAAAAGTAAAGTACCATTGAGGACTGAATATTTCCTCCTAACAAAGCATCCCCCAAAGCAAACCAAGAGCACCATCTAGTGGGGGTCAAAAAATACAGTAAATGGTTCATGAAGCATCATTTTGGCCATCACTAGTGGGTGTGTGTTTTTCATTTGGCTGAACTCTAACCATATTTGAGCAATGCTTATCTATTCGTGGGATTCCATTAGTCCTTTCTATTGCACCGCCTGCCGCCACGCCCCCTGCTTTGCCTGAGCCTCCACCCTCGGGGACCTCTCTGACTCCGGCTCTTCTGTCCAGCCCGGCTCTTCTGTCCCCCGTCCTGCCCGTCCAGCCCGGCTCGCCCGTCCTGCCCGTCCAGCCCGGCTCGCCCGTCCTGGCCGCGGCTCCGGCTGCACCGCCTGCGGCCACGCCCGCGGCTCCGGCTGCACCGCCTGCGGCCACGCCCGCGGCTCCGGCTGCACCGCCTGCAGCCACTCCCGAGGCCCCGGCTGCACCGCCTGCGGCCAAAGCCCGTGGCTCCGGCTAACGCCAGCGGCTCCGGCTGCACCGCCTGCCGCCACGCCCCCTGCTTTGCCTGAGCCTCCACCCTCGGGGACCTCTCTGACTCCCTCGCCATTACCCCGGTGAGGCCGACACCCCCCAGGACCCCGCCTTTCAGTGTCCCTTAGGGGACGGGAACACAGGTGTCGGGCCCGGGTCCCGCCCGCCCTGCCCCCTGGGTCGCCCATTCGGCCCCTGGCTGTGGCTCGGTGGCTGCCTGTGGGTCCTGCGCCGTCGGGTCGGCGGTCGCCTCTGGGTCCTCCCCCGGTTCCTCAGTGCCGGTCCTCGGCCTCACCTCTGGCTCCGTGTCGGCCGCCTCCGGGCCCCCCTGCTTCGGCTTCCCCTCCGCCTACTCTGGCTTCCCCCTTGTGCCTGCCTCAGCCGGTGTTCCCTCCTGCTCCCTCCGTGTCCCCTCCGCCTCTCCCTCGTCCCGTTCCCTCGGCCCCTGTGTGGTTCCCTCCTGCTCCCTTCTCCCTGCCACCTGCGGCCCCTCCGGCCGCTGCCCGTCGCCCGCCTGGGCTCCCTCGGACTCCCTTTTGTCCCCCTTCCGTTCCTGTCTGGTCTCCCCTGTCTCTGCTCCTCCTCCTTCTGTTTCTCCTCTGTTCACTCCTGGCCCCTTCGTGTCACCTGTGGGTGTTCCCTCTGTGTCTCCCTTCTCTGTCTGCCTTTCCTGTTCTTTGTCGGGTTCTGTCTTGGTTCCTGTCCTTGTCCTTGTTCTGTGTTTCTGTTCTGTTTCCGGTACCCCATTGATGTCTTGGTTTTTGTCTTTCAGGTCCTGTTCCCTCGTCTCGTCCGTCGCCTACCCTCGGGCACGTCCGGTGTGCGTACCTTTGGGGGGGGGGGGTTATGTCACGCCCCGCTCCGTACGATCCTTGTGTGTGCCACGCCCACCTTGTTACCTCGTGTTTATGCCTGATTGTTCTCCACTGTTGCTCGTTAAATTCAGTTTGTCTTGTGTATTTAGTCCGAGCCTCAGTCAGTCTTCCCCAGATTTGTCATTGTATTGTTATGTTTTGTTCCTTGTCCGCTAGTCTACCCGCAATAAACCCTGTCTGTCCGTCTTTACGGCTCTGTTTGCCTGCTTCGCCGCTCACCTGCTTGCCAAACGTGACATTTGTAACCTGGATTAAAATTTTATACAGTTCACCTAAAGCCTGTGTAAAAACGAATGATCAAATCTCCCCAAGCTTCACTCTCAGAAGGGGCACTAGGCAAGGTTGTCCACTTTCTCCATCACTATTTGCTATATTTATTGAACCATTGCCAGCAGCAATTCGGAATAATAATAATATCAAAGGTATTCAAACAGCAAGTATAACCCATAAAATTAGTCTTTATGCAGATGATGTATTACTTTTTCTTCAAAATACACAGGGTTCCCTCACGGAGATGATAAGACTCATAGATAAGTTCTCCTCCTTTTCAGATTACTCTATTAATTGGAATAAGTCGACTACTCTTTCAATATCTTGTGACTTCCAGTCCAATCCAACTATCCCACTTCAATCTGGGAACATTAGATATCTGGGTATTAACATTTCTGCCAAGCTGTCAGATCTGACGCGATTAAATTACAGTCCGCTGCTTAAAAAGATAGAAGATGACCTTGCACGGTGGAACAATCTACCCACATCACTTCTGGGAAGAGTAGCAACAATGAAAATGATGATCCTACCAAAAATTAACTACATGTTCTCAATGGTTCCGAGTCAACCTCCGTGGACTTGGTTTAAATCACTGGACTCCTTAATTTCAAAATATCTATGGAAATCCAAACCACCACGAATAAGTTTAAAAACTTTACAGAAACCCAAAAACTGTGGGGGTTTGGAGCTTCCCAATTTCTACAACTACTTTCTTGCCAATAGATTGATATCCTGATGTCCTAAAATGGACTACACAAAATAACTTAGACCTTAACTGGCTGGATATTGAGCAAACT